GTCTACAGGCCCACACTCTAACCACTGAGTTGGCTAGGGCTATGCTAAATTATTTTTGACAGCACTAATTAAAAAGAGAAACATCTTTGAGCAAAAAACTGCTTTTCTGTATTCATTTTCTTTGTCAGTGATTAATTTCACTTTCATCTTTTTATGGGCAATTTCAGAGGGTTTATCTCAAGCCAAGCCAGTGGGTAACATCATTTTTTAGGGATACATGCAAGTAAAAAGTAGTATTTGTGCACTTTTAACACCACTTACTGAGCACCTGCAGGGTAGTGTGCACTAGGCCAGCAGTCTTTGCGAAAGGGAAACCACCTAGGGCCTCCAACTCGCTCGAGGTATTCATTCAAGATCATGGAATTACCCATTTTTTAGTTTATGCACTACTTAATTTAACCATTCTTTTAATAAATAGTATTAAGAATAATTTAAAGTCATAACCCCAACTTCTCAAGTGGATTCTATTTGATATGATATTAGCAGTTATAGCTCACAGCTATTGAGGGCTATTGTTGCCAGGCTGTGTGCTGAGTACTTTCTGTTCTTTATTTTACTTAATCCTTTTAACAATCCCCATGAATAAATGTATTTATTTTTGCCATTTTACAGATGATGAAACCCAGTGAAAATTCTCACTCAACATCACATAGGCAATTAGTGGTATAACTGGGGTTCTCTAGAGCCCATGCTAATAGCCACAAGGACATTCCATTTTAATACTTTCCATATTTAATGATACAAGTAGGAAAAGCAAAGAGTAATGAGTTAATATGATATTGATCAAGGAAGTCTAACCTTGATAGTTTGTTTGGGTTACTTATTTGTTCATTCACCCATATGTCCAGCAGTGTTGATGGGGACCCTTCTCTGTGCCAGACAATTTGTTAGATCTCTGGAATGCAAAGGCACACGAGATGCAAGCTTTGCCTTGAAAGAGTTGCATGCTTAGATTCAGCTATTTGTTTATGTCTGCCTCTATGAATTTCTCATTCCACATTCTTGAACCATGTAGCATCTTAGCTGTGTGAAACCCAGAGAAGGTGTTTGTTACTGACCCTTGGCAAAGCTCTTCTATAGAAATCTTTCAGATCTGACTTAATTGCATATTCAGATGTCAAGATATCACAATACAGAAAACATAAGTGGGGAATTCTGACAAGGAAAATGTTACTTCCTAATATTTAAAAAATATATTAACATTTAGCCTTCAAAGGGCATGTCATCAAGAAGTTGCTAATTCCGATGAAGTTGCTCTCCTTTCTCAGTTTGTTGAAAGTAGAAAAGCTGCAAGTTTGATGAGTGAAAAAAGTTAACAGTGGTTCAAATATTAAAACCTGTTATTCAAATTTAGTGTGTCTTTTTATCTTATTGACAACTTGATTTGAAAATCCACACTTTAATGATGTACATATGAACAGAGCCAAATGGAAGCCATTCTGAGATGTGTAAAATAATGTTGCCATGACATCCTTCAGAAACAAACAGATGCCTCATTGTATGGGACCTTCTGCAAATGGGAAACCTCAGCCTTCCCAGGGCTGGTGATGTGCCTGGGAGTCAGGGAAGTATCGGCTTGCTTTGCTGGGCTAGATTCATTTGTGTTCCATGCATTTTTAAAACATCCCATTTCATTTTTGCCAAATGCATGGTGTCTGGAAATCCCCATTTCTGGAGTGTGGCAGCTATCCATCCCCTCTTGGGGCTCTGACTCATTCCAAGCAAGACCAACAATCAGGTAGGAAACGAAGCTGCTCTCCTCCTTTTAAGAGTCTCTGACTGTTACACACCCAGGTTATATTATAGAAGTCAATGAATGTTGATTTTAAAAAAGCTATTACTGGCCTTCCTCAATTTTCCCAGTAGTAACTACAAATATCTAAAGTGTCTTTAAAGGAAGAGTAAAGACTGTTTTGCATCATCATCTGCAACATTTGGGCTTAAAATCCTATGGAAACTGTTTCTTTCTGGTAAGGACTCCAATTTTCAGCCCTTCTAAATGTGAACGGCAAAGTAAGGGGGTCACACACTTACCAAATCCCTCAGCTAAAGAATAACAAATTGAACAAACATGGGGGAATCCATGTCTTTTTTTGCTCAGCTGTTCAGGAGGGAGGGACTGAAAAGTGGAAACCACTCGATATAGAACGTGATAGGCCTATTTGACTTCAGAAGTCCAGAGGAGTGTTTGTGAGCTGAGTTGGTGAAAGGCCTCTACCGGGGCCTTGGGTTGCTGCTTGTAGATATTTTTGTAGACCACTCCAGAGCCTTTCAGTCTGGATTTTCCTTTTACTTGACTTTTGTTATAAAGTAAAGATTCCATTTTTTTGTTAACCTGATTTCTAGAACTTTACTATTATTCTTTATTACTTTAAAAATTGTTCATCCAAAGGGAAAAAATAATATTGCAGAAGACCAGTTCCTTAGAAATCCAAAGTAACTCACTAAACTCCATGCAAATATCATGAAACAAACTTCCTCAGTCAATGGGACATGATGTCCAATAAAATATCCTGTTCAACTTAATGTCCTGTAAATACCATGATCTTGTTTATAAGTTAAAAACTCTACCTACCCTGGATTTAGTAATTATAGTTATGGGGTGCGTTTGAAGAACTACAAGCCATCAGCTTCAAAAGTAAATATCCTTTATACATTAGGAATACATCCAAGAAACAATGACTTGATAGTTGGGTATTAATATTAATGATGTTAGAAAATTGCAAGTAGATTCCCTTGGAGAATCATTGACATTAGTTTTATTTAAAATAAACCTTCGCTTAATTACTCAAGCTCAATCACCATTATCTTCTTCTAATGACCTTCATGAACCCCAGTTGGGCGTGTTTTGATCTATCTCTCACTCCATATCCCTCTAAGAACAACTTTATGTGCTTACTGTAGTGTCTGTCATGAGACTTATGATTTACAATGTCTCCATCTAATTAGTCTTATCTTACCTTCCATCTGTAACCGCATGCATTTGCTACAGGGATATCAAGAGGCAAGGGAAAGACAAAGGAGGTTAGAACTTTCATGGGCATTTCCTTTTTTGATAACATCTCCCCATCTCCATAATTCACCTGGAACTTTTAAAGCAACCATGTTATAAATCCAAACATGTTCTTCTTCTTATCCTTATCTACCCTCTTCTCATAGCTGCTCCTCTCATGTGCCCATAGGTGAGTCTACACTTACCATGTTCCATCTCAGGCAAATGAACTCCTGATCAGGATGAAACCGTGTTCTCTAAGTAGACTATGGATTTTTCTCATTAAGTCTCAAGACACAAGCCAAGGGGGCTCTCAGATGCTAACTCTTACCACTCCTTAAACTCCTTTTTACCCTCTTAAAAAATTCAGGATCCCATGTAAATTTGTTCATGTTTTTAAACTTCTTTTATTGGCCTTATACACATGAGGGTCTCTCAGTAATCATCAGACTTTGAATGTCACCTGAGAATCAGGAGAATTAGATCCTGATTGTTTTGGAATGATGTGGGAAGACAGAGTGAGTTGCTCATATTGCTAAACTAACACATGCCATGTACACCCCTCTGCAAAGTACCCACACATCTATTTTTATTTTCAGATTTGGACAGGCAACCCATTGCTGACAGTGTCTATAGGCGAGGGGTTGGGATGGGCATGAAGACTTGAGTCTAGAGCCTAGAGGTAAGAATTGGGTGGGCAACTATAGCAGAGGCAGACTCTTCTTGGGTTCATGGGACAACAATCATGCCTAGACAATCCCAAAAATCCAAATGAGAAAATAGAAAGGGCAGAACTAAGATGCTGACCCAAGCAGTAAGAAACCAAGCTGGAGCCAGAATGAACCCGAGGCAATGTTTTGATCTAGAGGTCAGCTTGAAAGCATGTAGCACAGTGGTTATAAGCATGCATTCCATAATTAAACTTGCCAGAGGTCAGTGTGTGTGTGAGTGTGTATGTGTGTGTGTGTGTGTGTGTGTGTGTGTGTGTGTGTTTAATAAAGCAGTGAGCTGAATTTGAGAAAAGTTACATGAGAGTTCTCACCTAAATTATATTTAATCACTTCAGTATATTCAATATTTCAATGTCTTCTAGGCCCTGTCCTCTAAATTTAAATTTAAGTAGCAGAAAGATGAACTCAGCTAAAGTCTCCTTATTAGAAGTTGGGCCTTTGCAGTGGCTGGTGGGGTAAATATGAAGACACTCCTGGTTTACCTTCTGCATCTTCAGGCAGCTTTGTTCAGATCTACTGCTGCGCCTGTTGGCTGGGGAGACAGGCAGCTGGGGGAGGGAGGTGGAATGTGTTAGTGGTTTCCAAACCTGGCTGTATATCAGTCACAATTTTGAGAAAAGTACTTATCAGCCAGGATAAGCTCATAATGCTGCAATAACAGACAATCCTGGAATCTCAGGCACCTTAACACAACCAAATGTATTTCTCATTAAGACTCTATGTCCAACAAGGTTAGTAGGGACTGGTGTGTGTGTGTGTGTGTGTGTGTGTGTGTGTGTGTGTGTCTCTCTCTCTCACTGAGGCTACAATCCATGTGCTTCAAGATGACTGCATCAGAGAAGAGATTGGGCAGAACCACTTTCTAGCTTCTAAGTTTCTGCCTGAAAAGGATACATTCCATTTCTGCTCACCTTTCAGTGGTTAAAGCAAGCCCCATGGTCAAGACTAACTTCAAAAGGGGAAGGAAAGTGCAATCCTACCACACATTTGCAGAATGTAGAGATGGGGTATTTGTGAATAACCTTAGTAATTACACAACCCTTGAGATTCTGATTCATTATATCTTCTCCACATCAGTCTGCTAATCCTCTAGGTTTGAAAACCCCTGGCCTGTCGAGTTGATCTTGTTGGAAGAACTGCCTTGCTGAAGTCCGAGTCCTTTTCATGTTTCTAGGTAAGGCATCATAAGTAGTGAATGTAGGGTCGCATTAAGTACATGCCCGGTCCAATGAACTACTTTTAGTAGGGACTCACCCACTCTTCATGAGAGAACCAAATGCAAAGGAACTGTATTTTTATTTCTATTAACAACAAAATACTTCCATAATTTCACAGCCCATTGCATTTAAGAGCACATATATTACAAATAAAGGAACTCCACAAACTTTAAAGATTAGTATTTATCAACACTTTTGTACACATACACAAATATTTTAATATAATGGTATCTGAAATGTTATCCATATAATTTTTAGCACATCATAAGTATCAACCAAAAAGGTTCTTTTAATTTTGGTAAAAACCATATATTTTACAATCTCCTATTTACATTTGAAATATGCTTAAATGTTACAAAAACATTCACCTTGACCTTTAAAATATGTGTACTAGGACTTGGTATTGAACATATTGTAACTGACAGCAAACTTAGGGTTTGCTTTTGAGCTGCACGTTCATTGGAATGGCAAATATTCAGCTTGGCTTGTTTAACGCTGCTCAAAGGAAAAAGAATCATACGAAATGTGCAAATTCAGAGACTGGCAAAATTCTTAAGCTAGCGAGGTAAAAAAATATTAACATAAAAACTTCAAATAAATTAAATCTATCTTCTCTTCCCCGAGATTAGCTGCAAGTTCAGAAAGTCCCTTCAGAGGTGCGTCTGATGCTGCAGACCTTTGCTCACACGTCCGCACTAGCTGAGATGGAGACCGTGGGCAGAACTGGGGTCCTCTTGCTAAGTATTCGAGAAAAGGTTCGCTCCACTCCGCATTTTGATGACTCGTCCCTGCACATAATCTTAAGACAGGACAACACACAGCACGACAAGGGAACACAATAGATAGGTTCATGTTAGTATTTTCGCAGACAAAATTAAAACCCAGGGAAGTGACTTTATTTTTTCCCCCCCTGGAAATCTGCAAATTTTGAAAATGCACTGATCAACATAGATCTGAAGACTTTTTTTCCCAAGTCCATGTCATAGCCATTTTGGTAAGACTTAAAGTACCATCACAATATTCTTCAACTATCAAATATAAGTTACTAAATGTCTGGGTAAACCTTACGAATGTATCTGAGTAACACCAGAATTTTATTTCATTCTAAAAGTTTATCATTTAAATTGTTGACATATACCAAAACAGAGAGACATCTGAAACCTCATTTAAGTGTGTTAATGGAAATATGAGAAAAATATACTTTTGAAAATAATGTTAATATATCTAAATAATACTTTCCTGTTACATTTGTTCAAATTATGACATGTAATCACAATAACAACAATGAAACCCTCAGAAACTTCTAAAATGTATCTCTGTACAAAAGAGATAATGAATATTTTAAGTTTCTAGTTATGGAGATTTCCCCACCAACTCCACACATTATTATGCTTTAGTTTTATTGCTCTTCCAAGATAGAATTGCCACTTCTGTCCCCACAGAGCACCAGAATTCTCTACTACCAATGCATTCTCCTTATGTTCAATGTCACAAGTTTTACTTAAATAATTTGGCAAATAATGTTTCCAAAGAGGATGTCAAACTCTGAGAGCAATATGCCTTTGCATCTCACCCACTTGGCACCATCACACAGCAGATCTGTTCTTTTCTCCGTATTTTATATTTAATATCCATTACCACCATTGACTTCACTGTGCTGTCATCCTTCTGAATGTTGAAACAGACTCCAAATGAGCATCTTCTATTCATGTTTCTTTCAGATACCTATATGTACTACTATGGCTTCACAGAGGGAGGGTTTTAAGCTTTTTGGATATTTGTAAATAGTGTGGCATTCTGGCTGTCTCTAAGGGTAATTATTGCCTGTCTGTCACTTTGATAACTCAAGCCGCTTCACCTCAACATGTTTGCACAATAGTGTCCACTTCATCCAGTTCCATCTCTTCCCTTACAGTAAATGTTCTTGCACTAAGTTGATGACTTCAGGCTGCCCTTTCAGCTAAGACTTTGTTGGACACTCTTGGAGTAACTGCATAATTAATTCTATTTATATTTTTGTATTTCTGTGTTTGCATCCATTCTAATTATGTTTCTATTTTTAAAAGTTCAGTGGTAGAATTACTCTTCACTGTATTTATATATGTACCTGTTTCCAGAATATCTACATGAATATATAGGTACATGAAGGTACACATGCATTATAGATTATGGTTCATTTCTACATTACAGGATTTGCTAAGATTTGCCTACCCTTCCCTCCACTAGAGTTCAAACCCAAACATGGTCTGATGCATTTTCATTAAACACACACACACACACACACACACACACACACCCCTGAGAAAAGCATCAAACAATTTTTTGTTATAAACATAAACTGAAACAAATATATAATATTTAAAAATACTATAGACTTTACAGACCCTTATCTTTTTTTTTTTAACTATTTCTGATTTCAGGAAATTGTTCATTACAACCAACTCAAAGCACTTATCAATGGTTATCATGAAAATAGGTTTTTTTTGCTCTAAATAACACAGTTCGCTATGGATAATTTGTACTTATGATTTATAATGATCAATTAAATAGTCCCACCATTAGGAATCTCCTCTCCAGAGTTAGAAGTTAGTATTTTGTCCTTATTTTAATCTAAGGTGGAAATGTGGAATGGCCATATAATAGAGTAAATCATTTTCTAAGGAGAACTTTTTCTGAAGATATCATGTATTTTGTGGTCATTGTCCCAGATATAAAACCTATGGACAAATCCCCATAGAAGCTCTAGACCAGGAGAAAGTTTATCTTTCCTGCTGAAAGATCTATTGTGTTTACTGAATAACAAGACCTGTTCAATCCATCAGTTTCTTTTCTTTGCATCAGCTTGAAGGAAGCATGAAATCAAATTTTGCTTCTTTTTGCAAAGGTTTTCTGGAAAATCAATTAAATTTCTCTCCCCATCCCTTAATCACCTGGTTCTAGTTTTTTTGTCTTTTTGTTTTAGCATTTTGGAGTATAGTGAGTCTTTGTTTTGGATACAAGTGAGCTCAAATATTTTAAAAAGTTGGTGAATTATGAATTTTGTTTTTAAAAGTCAAGTTGTTAATTTTAGCTTTAATTAGTAGGCTCCCCCTCCCATATTCACCTACCTCTCAATGGAAATAAAGTTGTTCTAATTAAATAAAAAACCTCGAGAACACTAGCCACTATGGATTGTCAGGGAAAAATGAACAGTTAGAAAGTGATAGGTAGACCAGAAGGCCACAAAAGACAGAGTAGACATGAGGAAAGAAAAACATACCACTTTTGCTTACAGTACTGAGGGAAATACTAGACACAGAGGAACAGAAGTTGTATAAACACGGACTGCAACAGAGCTGCCAGGGAAAAAAGAGAAAAGCATTTTTGCTCAAAGTTTCAAGGTCAGATGCAATTTACAGTTGGAAGCAAGCATTTCTTCACTACTTTTTTTCAACTTTCAGATCCATTGTTCTTTCTGTTTCACTCTCAGATTTATGAGTTCCCCAGGCTATCAAAGCATCACTCCTGAACATTAATTCCCACCAGCTTCTAAAGAATCCCAAACCAATACTCCCTCCTCTAAGAATCCTACCCAGAGAGATTAATTCTCTCTAACATAAGTCAATTAACCACGTCGTCCTCCAGCTTTGATAGAGGGTTTAAAATGTGGGCAAAAGGAAATGGAAAATAAGAAAAAATAAGAAAAAAGAAGCATATATAAGAAAAGCAATTAGAATAAAAGAAGTATAGGATTCATTTTGTGTTTCCTGAATAGTGTTGATGGTGCTAGACCATTTAAGGAAAGGAAGGGAACTAATATTTAATGAGTGGCTACTATGCATGAGGCACTATTTGGAGATTAGTTCAAGTTCTCCCCCTTAATTATTCTGTAAAGAACACATCTAACTCCTGGAGGGGACCACAGTGATGAGATGTCAGGTAGAGTGTAAGGCCGTCTCTCAGCACCTCAAAAAGTACTGTGATATCGAATGTCCACATTTTGTGCACAGCCTAATATGCTGGACAGATGCCAGAAGTCATGGATGACTTGTTTGTAGGGTGGGGGATTGAGTTTTATCCCAATTCTGCACATCTATGGGAGGCCCTGCCTCTGTAGGGGCAATCTTAACTTTAAAAAGCCATGTCTTTCTTAGTCCTGGTGTTCTTCCTGAGTATGGTGCAGAGACTCCTAGTTGCAGAACTGTGGAACTCCACATCACAGCATGGGGAGGTGAGAGGTCTTAAAATCAGAGGTAAAGGGAGTGATAGCAAACCCTACCAGGAATGCTACCCAATGTTTCTTGATGTCTAATAGGGCCCATCTGTCCTAGAAAACCAACAGCTCATATGATTTGATTAAACATCTCTGAAGACTATGAAAAGCATCTTCTGGGTTCTCATCTTTTTTCTCTCCAGACTTTTTCTCTCACCTGATCTCTGCTTTGAGGCAAGGGACTTTGTGGGTGGGGGAGAGGACAAGTCAGCAGCACGGTGCTCACGTAAGGTACAGTGACATCAGCAGCAAGAAAAGAGACCCTTTCTGGCATTGGGGTCAAAATGGACACTTTGGATGAATGAACAGCACGGGCCACCCCAAGGAAAGCCTCACCTGCTCATTCATGATTACGGAGAGTTCGCTGAGCATGTCCTTATAATGGGACCGCAGTTCTTCCTGGTACTCCAGCTGGTCTTCCTTGATGAGGCGCTCATTCACGTCCAGGGCCTGCCCACATGCATCTGCAAATTGCCTTTAACGACAGCAAGAAGCAAATTAACAACCAGCCACAGAGACTGGCCACTCAAAGCCAGGCTGCTGATAGACTCTGCCACCCAGAAGGAGGTTGGTCAGGTGGCTTCCTGGGGAATTCAAGACTCCTCGTCTGAAGGATCCCAAGGAAGAACATTCCACAAAGAAGAGCTTACCTGAAGATTTCCTTCAAAAGCTTTACTTGGTTGTCAGGGTATTTCTTTGCTTTGGTTTCTTCAAGAAAAGCTCGTGCATAGGCCATGGGCCCTGCATTAACCTATTGGGGAGAAGAGAATTTGCTGAGGATGAGCCCACTTCCTCCATGGAGGAGCCCGCTCCACAGCTGGGAGGAGTAGCCACTTGTGCACCAATCATGTGGGACCCCAGTTCTCTCACATCACCATGAAGTCTGATAATTTGTTATCTGTTTCATTGACGGCCCCCCACAACTGGTCAATCAGCTACTACAGGACATATCTGAGCTCCACACGCCACTGCCATCCTTCCCAAACTTCAGTTACTTGCCCACCATCTCACGTGTTTGCCATATCAAATACGGCTTTAACTGTTATTACTTTTTATTGAATTTATTGGGGTGACACTGGTTAATAAAATTATTAGGTTTTAGAGTTACAATTCTTTATTACATCATCTGTATATTGTATGTATGTTTACCACCCCAAGTCAAGTCTTCCATCACCATTTATCCTTCCTTTACCCTCTTGAACTATTATTTTCTTAATATGTTTGAAAACTATATTTCCCTTTATCTACTTAAACAAATTTAAGTTAAACATCTGTGAAATCCAATGTCTGATGTGCTAGTTTTTTATTAGCATTAAAATAAACACACAACTATTAATACAAGGCATTCCACAGAGATGATGGTGTACACACCTCCCTGGGAACTACTGTCTACGGTATTCCGCTTGACAGTCTGGCTTAGATTCCGGCCCAACGTGGCATTATCAGATTTGCAGAATGTATACTCAGGTCCTGATCATGCTCACACACAAGAGTAGGCTCACACTAGTGAGGGAGTCCATATTTCTTAGTGCTTATAATGTTTTAAAGTGACCGTGTAGCTTGTAAGGAGTAGGGGAAAGAGAAGGAAGCTAATGCTGTACTTGAGCATCTGCAGATGTCTATGGCCACCAGGCATGGCCAGTGTGGTGGAATGAGCACACAGTGCTGGGTGCTTTCTGTTGCTTCTCCAGCTTCCACCTCTAATTTCCTCTGCTCAGCTATGTGCTGAGGGAAGTTGTCCCATTTGGAGTATAACTATGGTTCTCTTGCATCCTGGCTTTTAAAAATTTATTATTATTATTAATTATTTTTGAGTCAGGCATGGGGTACACAGACAAGATGTTGGCAGGGAAGAAGACAGCCAGGTCCATATCAGGATCAACATGACTGATTTTTCCTTTTGCATCAGGCTCCAATATAGCTCCGTGTGATACTGCTACTGGCCTGCCTTTATTTAAAAGGTGATCTCACTCATTTATGGATAATAAAGAACATTACAAACTGTTGAACAAAAATAGAGGCAAAGAAGCATCGAACAGATTGTCAAACTACATCAGGAAGGTAGAGGAGGGTTGGGGGAGGGGTAAGAGATCAACCGAAGGACTTGTATACACGCATATAAGCACAACCAACAGACGCAAGACATTGGGGGCGAGGGGACAAGGGTAAGTGCCGGGGGGTAGGGGAGGCCGGGGGGAGGTCAGTGGGAAAAAAAAGAGACATATGTACTACTATTTGTAATACCTTAAACAATAAAATTTAAAAAAGGTTAGCATTTTGTTCATGATGGATTTTTGACATTATTTTTTATTTTAAAAAATATTGCATTATAATATTTTATCATGATTACTGAGTTTTTGATGCATCCCCTAAATTTTATGCCCAAGGTGAGTGCCACACTTGCCTCACCCTGGTTTCAACCCCTGGAGGGTATTAAGTAAGCGCCAGGCTTCCTCCTGGCAGTCCTCCAGCAGGGACTAAGTCTATCTGTATGTTTGTCTGTTATCAGCAGGCTCTCTCAGCTCTCTCTCTGCTTCCAATGATTCCTCTTTCTCCTCAGTTTTTGGGCCTAGGAAGAGTAGCAGCCCCTCAGTCTTGCCAGCTCTTGTGCCTACCCTTGTTGATTTCCTTAAATACTGCTCAGACTTGCAAATAATCTATTTATTGTATTTCCTTTAATCGCCCACTGTGAGCAGGCCACCTGCTTCCTATCAGGACCTTGGCAGCCAAATAAATATTGAGGCACATTTTATGAAATATACATTCTAAAAATATGTGTTTTTGAACAGTTTTATAAGGCTCTTAGTGACAGATATTTATAAGAGAGACACGTTATTTGTTAATTAATTCATTTGTTTGAATTTAGAATATAGAACATAGCTTATCAAGAGAAGATAGGAAAGGAGGGTTAAGGAAGAAGATACTTTATTTTCAGCTAAAGTTAAGAAAGGCTTATCTCTAGGTGTTTGGCACCATTTATGTGCATTTACAATGAAACAAAATTTTAAAGACTCAGATAAAAGTGCTGGATGGTATCACACACAGAAAAACATCTCTTATATCCTTTGTAAAAAAATAAATGTCAAGGTGTGTTGTACCAGGTTCCCCGGGCCATGTGCATCTCAGCACCGGGCAACACTCACCTTCACGCTGACACTTCCTTGGAGTTTGAGCTGCAGTCGGATCATGTCCACCTCTTCCATTGTGCAGAGCTGGTTAAGCTCAGAGACTTTCTTGGACATCTCGTCGATTGCCACTTCAATAGGATTCAGTTCTGTGCTCGACTGGCTTATGACTTGGATTCTCTTCTTCACATAGGGAAACAAGTGGCTGGCTGTGCAGGAGCAACACAAGAGAATGGAAAGGCTGAGGGTGAGTGTAGTCAGGGGTGCTCTGAAGGTACAGACCACCCCATAGGTTTTTTTTTTTTTTTTTTGCAAACAGCTCGTTTGTCCTGCTTGTTTTTGTGCATATGAGTTATTGTTTATCCTGTGTGTCACGTGCCCTCCCTCCTCTTAGCTTCTGCCCCAGCTACCTTCGCCTGCCATTCTCTTCCACGCCTCCCTAGGCATGTCCTCGTTCTTAGGGCTGGAGTAAAACCTCGATTTTGAGTCATTCAACACTGAAAAGATTATAGCTTCCACCATAACTTGCAGTTCAAATAGAAACTCCCCTAAGCCACAATAAAGAATGCTTAAATAAATACTGAATGGCCTATGTTATAGTAGCTTTGTTTTAGATTTTTTTTTTATTAGAAAAGTTCTGGAAAAGTTTACTGAAGGAGAATATTCCCCCTAGTTTGGATGTTACTGCTATTTGCCTGCCTATTGCATAATCCAGGATTGCTCATCTCTCACACAGCTTAGGTATCACTAGTCCAGAATGTCTTTGCTCATCTTTCCCCTCAGTCTACCTTAGGAGTCCCCCTCCTGTGCTCCCATTTCATTTCTCACGCTGTGCTCGCCTGAAATTCTTGCTTTACTTGGCTCTTTCGTCTATCAGACTGGGAGCATCTTGAGGGCAAGACTCGTGTTTTATTTCTTTGAATTGCCAGTAGAGTACCCGACATGTAGTAGGCACTTGCTGAAAGTTTGTTGACAGAATAGATTTAGACGGTACTGGAAGGGATGGTGACCATCCCCTGCACTCATTTTACAGATGAGGAACCATACTTCCAGAGCGACTTAGGATCTTGCTCCAAAGTACACAATTCTGAGAGCTTCTAATCTTGAATTAACTGAGGGTAGATTCAGGGAGAGAGAAGAGTGGCCTTCCCAAGACACGGACACCATGACCTTTGTGACTAAGCTCTACAGGGAAGGGCTTAGTAAAGTAACTACTGACAATTTCTCTTCTGGGTGACTTCTCAAGGGTGTCTTTCTTGACAGATTGTAAGGAAGGGGAAATCTACTCTTCCAGGCAAACGTCCACGGTGGCACATTCGGGGCACTTGTCTGCCAGAGTGAAATGTGCTGATTTTAACTTCTCCATCCCCGTGAAGGGCTTCACGGTCCCTGGGCGGGCTGCACCTACTTGTCAGGATGGTCCTGCGCTTGCACTGCTCCTCCACACCACCGTGCTTCTTGCCCGACAGCGTGAAGGGTGTCTCAAACACAAAGCGGTTGATGTTGTGATGCATTTCAAAATCCGTCTTCCGGTCCTCTATTTCCTTTTCTTCAAAGAATGGTGTCACATAGGTCACCTGGATATAGGCATATTTGGGGTCCAAATCCTTCGGGTTTACCTATATGAACACATGATGGTGAAAGAAAGAGTGGTGAGCCTAAGGTGTTTGGGAAAGAAAGGCAGGAAGCTCTGTGTTCCCTCAACTGGCATCCTAGGGGTTGGGGTGGAGTGGGGAGGGGCTGCCCCTGTTCCCTTGGAGAAAAATGGGCATCATATCACCATAGAAGAATACCTGCCTGGACTGTGGTCAGGCAGCCAGACTGTGGTGGAGGTAGGTTGGAGCCAGCTGGCCGAGTAGCCGAGGCTCTTCAAAACATAAGCCAGCTTTTCCTGCGCTGCCTTCTGAGACACTCTTCTACCAACCTGTGTTTTGAAGACCTGCCATTCTTGAAACACATTTTCCCCTTTCATGCCACTGTCACTGCATGTGCTAGGCTGCTCAATATGCCCTTTGCTTCCAGCAAACACCTCCTCACCCTGCAATTTCCAGCTCACACATCATCTCTTCTGGGAAGCACTGCCCACATGAGAATGAGCTGGTCAGGGAGCCCCTTCCCTGAGCTTTCCCTGTGTGACTTGCACCATGTCTGCCATGGCTCTTCTTGCACTTTATTTAATTAACTGTTTGCAGACATCGTTCTCTTCTCAGCTCCATGTGAACTGGGAGATCTTGGAGAAAGAGTCTTTGTGCCCCAGCTCCTAGTTCTGGGGATGGCATGCAGTAGGTGCTTAATAGAGGTTGGCTACAGGAATGAAAGCATATTAGAGGGTTCTGAATAATATAACCAGAGGATGTAAGCATTGGCCTTCTGGAGCCACCAGAAGATTAATTAGATACCCACAGGTTAATAAAATGTAACTGGCAAGTCTGCTATTATTACAGAGAATAGATGTCAAAATTGGTATAACCCAGGAAGACCTCCCAGACTGAAGAAATACATTTTTGCTTTTCCTCCAAGTCCACCATTGGGCCCAATCACTTTAAGTCTTTGGTTACTATACAAGTGCAAATAACTGATGGGAAAAATAGGGAACTTAGAGGTTACTTCAATAAACACAAAATGTTTTTGCCAAAAATAATCACCAATCAACTAACCAATAAACAAACAGGCAAACACCCAAAATGAATATTAATTTTCCTCTACCTTGTTGGAATCCTGTATTATCTTCACATTGTCTGCTCCGAATTTATCTGCATACAGCTTGAGCAGTCTTTGGGAAATCTCTGATAGACCTGTCAGCTTAGGCTCTTTATAAATATACTCTTTACCTTCTTCTTCTTCAAAAAAACCCTATGGAAGATACATAAGAAACCATCAACTTTATTAGAAAACTCCAATTGCACATCACAAGCAAAACAAAAGCCGTTTATCCAATCTTTTGGTTGTTATCCAAGCCACTAACTAGCACCCTATAAAGTCAAAATCAGAGAAAAGCCAAGTGAAGAAAACAAAATATCATGCTAGAATCAGTCATTAACGGAAACACTCCCTCACCAGGCCAAAGACCCTCATAGGATATCTTAAAATATTTTCTCTATTTGTAGAAATCAATGGTAATATCTGCTGCATATATTTTGGGGGAAGGTTGCCCTCATGTGGCAGCCTGGGGTAGAACACAGAGTCTGGAATAATTGGCATTTTTTCAAAGAGCAGTGTCATTTTTAACTAAGTCTTCGAAGCGAGCACAGGAAACCCTGAGGGGCACGTAGAGGTATCTACGTGGGTGGATAGGCACCCACATCATCTTAAAGAGCTGCAGCACTGGTATTGTAATCACAGAAATTGCTTGTGGCAGGCTCCCAAGTACTGTTATTTAAAAAATAACTTTCCATTAAGTCTGGGGCCTGATGCAACTTGGCTATATGCAATTTCATCATTCAATTTGCTTTCCTAGATCTTTTTTTTTTGCAAAGCTAGACCCATTTAGAATAGAAAATAGTAAAGCAACCAATTGTGCCATCATTTTTATGTCGTAGGAGCAAGTAGGTCTTAGCCTCTATTAATTTATCTGTCTGGTTGGAAACAGGGGGAGAGAATATTCCATTATCTGCGATAACTAAGTGAGGTAATCTTTATAATTCCTTCCCTTTGAAGAGACACAGGGCATTTTTCCTGTGGGACACGTGGCCTCCGACTATTGGGTTAAGTCTGGAGTTAAGATTCCAAGTGTGTCTGTTGCTTCTGACTCAGAATTTACCTCAAGGCTATGGCTGTTGAGAGCCAGCTGAAGACAATGGAGGTCACAAAGAATCTTAGCTGTATTTTTAAAAAACTGTTATTTTTGACTATTTAAAAAGATTCCTTATATATAAAATACATGGATGAAATGTTCCCATGTTGGACTTTTCACAGCCGAAGTGAGGTGAGAATAATAATTAAACTCACATCTATATGGCGCCTTTGTACTTGAAGGCACTTTTACCCATGTACACTTGACCATCATGAACAGGGTACTTTGCATGATAAGAGGGACACAACTGTATATTTGTAGAAGCCAAGGAACAAGGCACATTTGCCAGCACAGATCTTGTCAAGCACGAAATTAATTGTCTGTTTCCTTGTGCACTTCACGAAATGACTTTGGGCTTTTCAAAGTCAGGAAAGTATCTTGTTCAACATGGTATGTGTAGTGTTTAGCACGGTGCCTGGTCTTTAGGGGGACGTCATTCTACATTTGTTAAATTAATAAACTGAAGAATAAAACAGTTCTGGTGGGCATACATCCTAAAAAGGTATGTGTGCACCAGGTATAAATAGAAAAGATTGTATTGCTTTAAAGAACAGTTTTTAATTGAACAATTTCTTTAAGAAATGTTCAAGACGAAACACAGATGATTATGAGTAACTTGACCCTCAACTGCCAAAAAAAAAGCGATGCATGATTGTTGAAAGCATGAAAAGTAGCTCCCTGTTGTTCCTCTAGACTTTGTAGGAATGGTGACGTCTGGCTCCATTCCCACATGACTTCCAGCTGCTGTTTTTCTGTCTTTGTGGAGTTTTGTTTTATTCAAGGTCAGAAGTAGTGGCTAACATTGACAGACTGACACATCACAGAAGTAAGACTTCTGAGGCCATCAACCAGAATCCCCCCAGGGCAATAGCTAAAGCAACATTTACAACTTCCATTCCAGTGAGAAAAATGTTTCCAAGTCCCAGGAAAATATTTTCTCACCACACTGTGAAAACCAGCACAAAGAGACATTTTCACTGTGAATTCTTGCCCCTCACAACTTTCTGAATTTAGAATTAGAAGGAGTGTGGGAAGCAAGATTTTATTGTCATTACTATGACCTCTGTCTTTTTGGTCATGACCTGTGACTTTCTCTCATCCCTACCCCTTGGTCTGGAGGATGGGAAACAGACCCAGAAATCTATGGAGAGGTCCTAAAGACAGTGCCTGGGACATACAGGCCTGTGGTGAATGTCACCTATCATGAGGAGAATGAGGAGGATGTCAATAAAAAAAAGTTTGTGTCAGCAAAGCAATTTGAGTTCTGATTCCTATGCAGGGAAATAGCTTGACTGAGTTTTGAGAACTTAAAATACATACCTTCAGTTTCTCTTACATAGAAACTATACTTTCCTTATTAGAAAAGTCTACTGATGCTAATTTCAATATTTTGGTTATGGGATTGATCAGAAAGAAATGGTGATTAAAATCTATCTATCTATCTATCTATCTATCTATCTATCTATCTATCTACCTACCTTCCTAGCATGGAGATATAAACCTCTTGAGACTATTTTATAAAACCACTAAAATGGAGTTGGAGTAACAGAATAAAGTATTTCGTCTGCTGTTTTCCAGGGTTGTAAGCGTTTGCAGCCAGAGAAATAGCAGCTCTGAAAATGTTGGCAATGCGTGCTTACCTTTTACCCAAGGAAACCATCAAACCATCAAACCCACTGAACCTTAAAGGTAGGACACTACCTTAAAGAAGGCTTCAATTTCAGCTCTGTCTATGAAATAAATGATTTATAAACAGGGACAAAAGGTGATGAGGACCCAGGGACAGTTTCTCTTTTGTGTTAGCCACAAGGTCATGAGTGCACTGTGTTTCAAGGCAACAGGAAATGTGACCTCTGCATTTCTCTTGCTAGTTTCATGTTTTAAAATGTCATTTTACAATGCAATAAAAACCCTAGTCTGTTTTATTCTCAGGAAACGCACACATTCTACTTAAACAAGGACTTTGAGTCAGTAGAGTTTACTTGCATGGATTATGAAACTCTAATAGATTATGATAAAAATGTACTTCAATAAACTGACACCTAAAATTATTGACCCCTTTGATATTTTTGGAGGTATTTCAGAATCACTATTGGGATGTCAGATATAAATGCTCCCGATGTTACATTCGATTGATTCCAAGGTCGTAAAGGAATGCACTGAAAGAGGAATCAGTGAGTAAAAGATGGGTCAGAAAATATTAATAATGGGCTAAATGCTAAGAGAAGAAAAACTACAAGAATGCTGAGAGATGGTTCCATATATATATGAACTCAGTTACACATATATGTTGTCTATATCAGTGACTTTCATACGGGTGGGGAGCCAGAAGGTTGTATCACATCCCCAACTATACATGCACCATACCTCCTCACCCAATCCCTTTTCTATCAAGATTCTGAGATGCATCTACAGCCACATAAGCATGGTTGAGAATCAAGGAATCTACATCCTTTGGTGAATGGAATAAAATTCCCCAGGCCTTTCACTTAACTCATTCCAGGGGCATCTGCTGTTTTAAGTTATGCAATAGGCACTTGCTTGCTTGCTTTCATGCTAAATATTAGAGCCTAAGATTTCATTGATGACAGTTGATGTTTGATCACTACTGCTGCTCATTATTCTTTAAATGAATATTTCAAGGACACTCTGTAGCTGCTTTCTATAGGCTGTTCTATATAAAATTTCCATAGGCATTGATATCAGATGTTGCATCAGAAAATTCATGTAATGCAAGACTTATGTTTTTAAAGTTTCTACTTGTTTTGTCATGTCTGGCTTATTGCATACATCATATTAACTACTCCAGCCAGTACTGTAAAATGCAAGCATCAGTCCAGCTGGGACCCTAAAAGATTTACCCAAAGGCCTTTGTGGAGGCAACGGGTCTACTGCATTCGCTATTTGCATAATTTTTGAAACATGATTACAAGACATGTCTATCTGGATATTAAAAGGTGAATTTTACACAAAGTACCATCATAAAAAAGGAATTATTGTTGACCATGGGGATTATGCTAATCAAGTAGTCAGGACTTTATCTTAGATCTTCGGAACCTTCATTCTGCACACGTTTGGGGCACTGTCCAAGCCTATTTAGTATTTTCTTATCATCAAATGTGAAGTGAAGTGCACTGTCCGCTCCTGTCCAATGAATTAGTTCCCATCTCCATTTGGTTCTTGGGGCAGGCATCTGAACATCATTTGAACAATGATGACCAAGGCTCTACATTGCTGCTTATCAGGACGACCTCCATTAGTCTCCCTTGGTCAGGGGTGGCTGGGGTTTGAACTTATAGAGGATCCGCTTAGGCGCATACTCAGGTCTTCAGATTCACAGACCATTTTGCCCTTCAATAAAATCTCAAATTGGAATTTTTAACAAAAGATAATTGAGAAGACTGGCAACATTAAAAAGAAAAAGCCAGCTGCACAATCAGCACACTTTATAGAGGAATCTGCAAAAAGAACAAAGTTAAGTCATTTGAAAATAGCTCTTCCCAATCCTTCCCCGTTGCCCCCTCAGTCTATTTAGTATAGGGATTTTCAAGTATTCTTTTAGTAGGTGAGTTAAGGACCCATGACCCCAAATTTATAAGTGAAGGTGGAAAATACTGATGTGGTATGGATGTGGGAAGGGACTTAAAGAATTACAAAAAAGTATGTACCAGACAAGCACAGTTGAATGTGGCCAACATGTGGATATTGCAAGAATTTGTCTTTCTACTTTAATCAATAGTAATTATGTTGAACCACATGAAGTTGCCATCTTTTCCCCAGGAAAGTATGGTTGAATATGGGCAAATTCATATGGTTCAAAAGGATGCAAAGAAAATTCTATGTCACAGAGCTCTAGGTACTGGCATGTTATTTCTGTCTCTGCTTGTCCTCCACATTTCTTACATTGCTTCTTTCCGCATCTCAGGAGACTTAACCTGACCTCCTGGGTAAAGATTTAGTCTATTGTTCATCTTCTGTGTTGGGAATTAATACTATTACCTTTGAGAATACTCAGAGCCAGCACAATAGAGAACCCTGTTACTCCACAATACTCATTTGGAAAATGGCAGGCTCTTTTAGGAACCTGGGAAGGTGCCCATCAATGGCCACCACTCCAAGTTTTGAAATTCTGAGCACCCCCATGCTCTTCTTCATCAGCCAGAACACAGTGGCCTGAAGTGAGCAGGCAATACCCAATACTGAGTCTACTATCCATATGTGGTTCCCATATTTATCTATGTGAGTGTGTGTGCATGTATGTAGGTTTTCAGACTACACCTACAGTAGTGCAGAAGATATTATATATGAAAAATAAAGGATACATTTTTGTAATTCAGATAACTGGAGTAAACAAAGTTTAGTTCAAGGAAGCAGGATGACTCCCAAATGAATGGAAGCAGGATTATCTCACCTTTGTACCAAATGTTGATTGGCACAAAAAAGTTAAGGTTCAGTAAAACCATATAGAAGGAAGTGTGAGAATTTTTAGAGCATGCAAATGGAGTGAGAAAGAGAGAACTTACCACAGCCTGGAACAGTCAATACCAAAAGAAGAAAAGAGTAAACATCTGCATTAAAATCTGGTTGGAAAGCAGCCTAATTCATTTCCACCTGTTCAGTAGCCAGTATGTTAGGCATTGGTTGGAGAAACTACCAGGTAGGCAATCTGGTTTTCATGATCAGAATATCAATGGCAGTCATTAAAAAGATCCTTTGAAGGACTGTAGACTCAAATGCAGGCTGGCTGGTGTGCATCTGTGTGTCCCTGCTGTGCTGCCATTCATTCCCTGGAGACTCTCCCCTACAGGCCCTCAACTCCCACATCCCCTTCCTGATGTGGTTTTCTGCCATTTTTCTTGCTAATGTTTCAGCAAGGTCAAAAATGTTCACTTTCAAGAAATCCCTTCCATTTCTCTCTCCTCCTCTTCTGCAGATCCCCACATTTCTCTGTCCCCAACATATCCTATCACTCAGAGAGTTCAGATTCTTTTCCAGGGACCCCCCAAATATATAAATTTAGCTTCTTTCTGTAGACCATCTCCCCACATCTGTTCCTCATTCTACTAGCTTTCTCTGATGCTGCCATGCTGTGGGAAAACCTGAGCTGGATCAATTTCTTTTAATTTTTAAATTTTTTTATTGATTTCAGAGAGAAAGAGAGAGAGAGAGAAAGAGAGAAATATCAATGATGCAAGAGAATCATTGATTGGCTGCCTCCTGCATGCCCCCTACTGGGGATCGAGCCCGCAACCCAGGCATGTGCCCTTGACCAGAATCAAACCCGGGACCCTTCAGTTGCAGGCTGATGCTCTATCCACTGAGCCAAACCAGCTAGGGCTGGATCAATTTCTTTATGGTAAGTGGTTACTCAATGACATTTTCCTTTCCCAGTAGAGAGCAGCTATCTTGACTAATTCAGAAATTAGTTTTCAAGCTGTCTTTGGTGACTAGAGGAAAATATCTATTTTTTCTAGAGACTTCAATGAGAAATGATCTAGAATGACCATGCTGCATGTGACTCCTTAGGCAATTGTGAGGAGAATAAGAGCTATGTGCAATAGTGCCTTACATGATGGGGGGGAGAAAAAAAAAAGACACAAGGGAACTGAGAGTCATTCCACCTGTGAACAAACAAGAATGGAATTTTTATCCACAGTCATAGTCTGAAGTATGTCTGCTGAAATATAAGAGTGTATAAACCTCCCTGAAAAGAACAGGATGGTTCCTGGGTCTATCCCACTTAAAGTACTAGTCAGAGATATTCAGAATTAATATGTAATACATTCACTTTATTTTCAGGCAAATGCTATGGCTAGCTAATATTTTCCTTCTTGTTCACTGTGTACGTAGTCAACTGAGAAAGGGAACTTAAAAATTACATTGACCTGTAATACAGGAAACAGTAGTGTTCTGCATAAAAGTAGTGATAGTTTGAAAGTAGGGGAAAAGAAAATGCATGATTATAAAGTCTAAAGTTCATGGCTTTGATATGGTGGAGCTCCTAGAAATTATTTATTTTTTAGAAAGCTATGAATTTCATTTCTTAAAACATGTTGAATTTAATTTGACTTAGAGGCAAACCTATAATTAGATATTTTGGGGTGAAATGGGAAGAAGACACAGAATAATAAATGCCTTTCTTCTCCAAGAAGTTAGAAATCACTGTTTTAACTCAATCTGTATTAAGAGCCATGAAGTTCTCTACCCAGTACCTTCCTATGGACAAACATATAGAATCACTCAGAGAAACAAACATATCTAGACACATCCACACCCACACCCCTTCAATCCTTTGACGCATGGAGTTAGATGTCTCATAAAGAATGAAAGGACAGCGTTCAACTGCTCAACAGAATTCCCAGGTCATGCTGCCTCTAGGGAACTTACCTGCCCATAAAATGCCACGCGGTAGTACCGACCAAACAGTCGCTTCTCTGAATTCACCACCTCCGCAACTTTCAGATAGGACCGGTGAATGTCGTAGTAAAGATCCGATAATTTCTGAAACCATAAATCAAAGGGTCTCAAGCGATGGTGCCCACATAAACAATAGGGAGTTTCTGCTTTTGAAAATAATAAGCAATTGACCCATTGAAAGTAGGATGTTGTCACTAATGTCTAGGTTTTGAAAACATACTTTGAAGTCTCTCTGCTTCTCAAAGACAGCAATGATGGGCTTGTTGACATCGGCGATGAGTTCGTATCTCTCAGACTTCCAGAGAAACTCCACACACATGTATAGCTGCTCCACCAGGACATGCTGTAGTTCCTCAAACCAAAGCAAGACCTTTTATGAGTTCCACTGTAGCTTATCACTGAAACTTAATTTCAAAACCGCTGCTGTCAATTTTTTCATGGTGGGATCTCTGTGTTCCCTATTTTTGTTATTAGCATTTACATCTAGCCAGCAAGGGATGGTGATGTCATCTGGATTATGCCCTTTCCCTCACTCGCATCCCCTGATCAATTCCTTAATCGTGCCAATTTAAATCTAAGAAATGCCTTCAGATTTGCCTAGTCCATTCTATTCTCACTGTCCACAACTCTGAGACCCCTGCAGAGTCTTCTAGATAATCTGTCTTCCCACTCCAATTTGTCCTCTGTGATGCTCTTCAGTCATTCTTCTTTCTAAAACATAAATATGATCCTGAGATCTCCACTGCCCCAAACCTTGGTGAGACCCCTACTCTATGAACTGCTGTCCCAACTCTCTATCACGGCATTCAAAGAGCTCCAGAGTCCAGCACCAGCCTCCGCCGCAGAGCCCCTCTCTCAGCGCCCCGATGTTGACTTTGCATGTTGGCTATATCAGACCATACCACACCATTTTTAGGATACATTCTCACCTTCCCACTTTTGCCTGTTTTGTTTGTTGCCACACCTATCAGAATGTTATTTTTCATTGACATCTTCAAGTCCTATTAAATGTCAAGATCCCAGTGCCAAAGTCTAGAGAACTTTTATTTATGTCCCATCTATCTCCATCCCAACCACATTCACATAAAAAAAAGTTCCCTTTTAATTATAGCCACATATGATGTCTGGAGTTATAGTTAATGGGTTTCAGACTGGATACTACCCACCTGAAGGAAGTTTGTCTTTCTCAAGGTTCTAAACTCTTTGAGAGCAGGAATTATGCCTGATTTATCTGTCTCCCACCTTTAATTCAATGCTTCAACATATATTAGTGGTTTAATAAATGTTCAACTGAATCAAATTATATATTCTCTAAAGCAGGTGGGTAATATTATTGGAATGTTTATAACAATGTCTTTTAAGAAAATATTTTTAAACGTTATTTGAAACAGGTAATACAAATATGTAGTTGCATTCACTGTTTACTTGCAATGTACATTAAATTTATGTAGAACTACATGTAAAATTTCATTAGATCCATCCCAAAATTTGCTTCCTGTATTCTTACTTTCAATCTATGTAATAGGATTTTAAAAAATTAACTTGTGTAATATTTTACTTACTTGATGAGGGGAGCTCTAGTTTCTTCACCAGAATTGTTTCTAGGTTATTCCCAGTAGAAAGACTTTTTATTAGTGAAAATAAAACAACCCATGATTTGCATACCAGAAGGTTTTCTGCAGAAATTAGTGAGCCCCTCTCTTCAAATATTTTTGCAAATAAACTTTCTAATGTATTTTTAAAAAGTTATGACCAGCTCACAAAAATTTCAGCATCCCTTACCACATTTACCAAAGGACCAGAGATTTGGTATCTTACAGATGAGCTGATCATATATATTTGGGTCCATCTTAGAGAAGTAAAGTTTAGTTTAAATTTTCATTGAAAATGATGCTTTCTCAATGAAGTCTGATATTGATTAATCTCAGCTTAATTTTAGCCTACATTTCATTTTGCCTCAGTCATATTATAGAGTAACTTTATTTGATTTCTGAATAAGACTTTCTCCCCGCTATTTAGCTTTATATTACAATTCAATGCATCTTTTTTACTTATTTACTGTACATTGGATTACTTTGGTCTAACCTCATTGTATGGCGTGTCTTGCATTCCCGAATCTTCTTTCATTGCTCCTTCTTCTTTAATATTTGGGGTAATGCTCAGAAAAGCTGGCCAGCCCATAGAGAACATGCCTGGAGAGGACCAAGAGAAATGTTACATTATTTGAGTCAAGTATTGCTTGGATTAGACAATGCCTTGCTTCATGATGTTCCAAGTGGTAGTGTAAAGCTCACAGTCAGCGAGATGGTTGGCCATGACTGTTGGTAAATACTCCCTGCCAGGCAACCAATGCCAGCCTTTTGTAATTCTGTATTATTTGCAGGTGATACCTTTTCTATAAGAAGCTGGCATGGGATTATGGACCGAAAACAAGATTTGTAGACTGATGTAGTTCCAATGTTCTGGGTTAGTTAACCTCTTTGAGCCTGTTTCTCCCATTTGTTATACTGGAGACATTGATATCCATCTCAACAAATGGGTGAAAGGATTAATATTTGAGAAAACACCTGTTATGGTCAGTACATTAGGATGGCAATGCTCAATACTCACTAACTTTTACTCTTTGGCATTATCTAGAAACCTCCTTAAATGTTTTGTTAGCATTTTGCCAGCAAGATTATAAAAAGGTCATGCTCTGCAGATATATATGGAAAGAGTTGATAATGGGTCATGTTCCTAGAGGTGGGATCAGATCTGAATGGTGGGGAATAGAGTGGTTAGGAGCACTGCCTGGGGTGACAGACCAGTCTTGATCTCTGGCCACCACAAACTAACCATGAGCTCTGAGGCAGGTTGCTTTACTGCTCTTGATTTTCTCATTTGTAAATGGGAGGTAATAACAGCACCCAATTATAGACTTGTCATTGGTAACTAATTCAGGTATTGTCAGTATGGAGCCTAGCGCTGTGCCTCACATGGAGCACATGCTTTGTAAGTTACAGCTGATGCTCCTGTGGATGTTTTCATTTTAATAATCAGTTCATTGGCTATGTAACTAAATTATCAACCCAGGACCTGTTAAAATTATAATTATAATAATTACTGCAACCGAATCCTTGAATTAAAATTACATGCTCCTACTTCTCTATAATATTCCTTCCGTAATTAAACATGCATTAAAATACATGAGAACTGATGGTAGCAGGAAATGTCATGACATACTTCTTAGAGGAAGCTGATCATTATTACAGCTCTATTTCCTGGAGTCACCTATATTCTTATTATTCACACATTGTATGAGAGATAGTCTACCTCTTTGACTTAGAAACATTGTAACAAAAAGTATATTGAGGATTTCAAATATATATATATATATACTAGAGGCCCGATGCATGAAATTTGTGCAAGGGGCTCGGCCCCCACCCCCGTGGCGGCTGCCTCTATCTCAGCCCCCACCCACTGCGGCTTCGTCTGGAAGGTCATCTTGAAGGACATCTGGTTTAATTAGCACATTATGCTTTTATTATTATAGATGCTACTGCCACATAAATGACTACCTTCCTTAATTTAAAGTTTACTAAACAAATACATTATTTTCTCAATGAGTATGATATATTCTAACATTATTTTAGAACTAAAAGTGGGTATTTAAAAGTTTTTGAATATTAAAGGTTCACACAACTTTTGGGGATCTAAGTTTCTACAACTTCTCAAACTGACACCTAGTTTTATCAGGTTTCTCCAATTTAGTTTTTTAGCTAGAATTTGACATAGGCTTTATGGAATTGTAGAGTATCTGATTATGATTAAAAAATTAGATGGGGAGGAAGCGCATGTTAAATAAAACAATGATAACTTTGGTGACTTGCATATGAAAATAAAGCTCAACAGGGAGTTGGCAACTGAGGAAGGAGATCCCTAACTTTCAGTGTGGGCATGAACCATGGTGCCAGGTCTGGTCTCTTCTCCAAGGTCCCCAAGCAAATGACCTCACTGTCCACAGTTCACCTTGGTCACTGGGTTCAAATGTCTTGTTTGCAAAATCCACTGAAGCTTTTTAGAAAATATATACATATTTAAAAGATTGAGGAACCAATTAAGCTCCCAAAATATTGTAACTAAAGTCATTTACTTTTTGTTTGGGTATTTTGATCTTTATACCTAAAGATTTGTTCCTGTTTTTTAATACACTGAGTTTACCACAGCTTTTTGAAGATTAAGTTATAAAATAGATTGCAGTTCATAAACTTTGGGTTTGAACAATTTTGCAAAAGAAACCAGATTAAATGTGTTAACTACATTGCCAACTAGTTTACAGAGTAATTATTTAGTTATCATTATAAAATCATTTTATAAGAAATTAAAGATGAAGTATTTTTAAAGGAAATCAATATTGTTAACTATTACATATTGTAAATTGTCAGAACCAGTTTATGCTTTTAAAAAGGAAATATAACATGCCAATTATAAGTATAGTTCTGTATATGCACTATATTTGTATGTTTTCATTTCTGCATCCCTTTATTGGACTTATTTTATTATATTTCAAAATGAAAATGGATTTCTCTTGCCATTTTAAACAATCCATCAGTTTCTGAATAAAATCCCAAAGGCAGGCTAGCAGGCAAATTGGTAGCAAAATATGGCCACAACTCATAATAATATAGGATAAGATGCAGCTATATTTGCTGAAAACTTTTTGGTAACGTAAATTGCATAAATTTTGGATGGATGGAATTTCTGAATGCTAGGAACTTTGGGATTTTGCAGAGTAAGTAATGTAGGTCTGACATGGTTTTTGCTTCCAGGAATACATTTAAGAATTTCGTTGAAGTAAAGCTTAAGCGCAGTTTAATGTCCTCTGCACTGTTCCGTGGGTAAAGGAGCTGTTAGACCACTCACTTCCTCCACCGGGACTGGTTAGTAATGGGTTGCTATCGCAGGGGTGCATATCCTCCATGAGCAGGGATGGTGTGCAAATCTTTTCCGTTTTCCAGTAACCTATGGTAGTGCAAGATGAGGTTAGGACAATGCTACATGTTTGGGTTAATTCAAGCTTACAAAACCATAAATCATTAACCTAACCAAGAAGCTGACCAGTTAGCCTTGCACATAGAATAAACATAATGGCATGAAAGAAAGTTAAAACTTAAAAGTGTAACGTAATTAGAAATATCTGTGAATATTAATGTTGCTTAATAAAACATAACCAAGATTAATAAAATCTAAAATTATTTTAAGTTGGATTTCAACGTGTTGATTTCTGGACTTTTTCTCCCTCATAAGGTTGGTCATCTTACCCTTTCTTTTCAGGTATTCTGCAATGAGGGCGGCTATATGGATGTAGCACATAGCAGCCTGCAATAAAACAGAAACAGTGACAGAAGAGGTTGCAGCACCCATTTTACTATTTGTCTAATTAGGACTAAAGTCATGTCAGAACATGTGGAGGAATCTTTTAAGTAAGAGAATTAAAGGTAATCAATTACATTTCCAAAAAAATTCACAATCAAAAATAAAATGCATACTTGGGATTGCCTTTCTTGATGTAATTCTAGGAAGAGCTGGCCTGAAGAATTTTCCCAAAGATTTATCTCCCTTAATATCTCTCTCTCTTAGTATTTACAGGGGTGGGAAAAACTAGTTTGAGGTTGTTCATAAGGAAAAAGACATGCAGGTTATGATTATTACAATAGCTGAATAAACTCTGTATTTCGCGTACTCAAAACTACAAACCTATTTTTGCCCACCTGTATGTATGTATGTAGGTATTTATATATTTCCACAGTTCTCTTTTCTTGTGAAAACTATTAGCATCTGGATCTAAACTGGAAAGGCAAATGCTGCCTTCTTACCTTTTCTACCTCCAGGATAGGTCCTCACTCGAATATCTGTTGCCTTTCAAGTGGTCGCCTCACTTGGTTAAATAGTGTGACCTAATGTGTCACCTGTGCTCCCTCCACCAGATGACATGGGCAACATTCTATTCTTCTCTAACATATCCGGTCAAGCCTTGAACATTGCTGGACACCTACCAGAACTTGACATGTTGAAGGGTCCAAATGATTTCAGCTTTTCCCTTTGAAGTTTTATGGAGGAACTTTTCCATTTTTACAGCAGTCCAAGGGAAATAGAGTTTCACACTTTGTCCTCACCAAATAGCCACCAAGCAAGGCTTTGTTTCTATCCCAGAGTCCCTTGCAAGCATTGTTAGGGCTTTAGGATTACCTAGACAAATTATCTCTTCCCAAAGGGTGCATATTTCTGGGAATAAGGCAGAACTTCCCCATTTGGTGTCCGGAAGCCATCTGCATGCCATGAATTGCTGCTCATAAATCCACCCATCATTTAAATTGATATAGAAATGTTAGCTATTGATTTATAACCTTCACACAGTGGACCCTCTTCACTCACTTGGATCTCAGGAGGCTTAATTTTTACGTCACCAGTTCAGACTAGCTGCAAATGAGGACAGTTGACCCTAGTCTGCATTTACTCACCATGTTGGCAAGCTTCCCCATCCAATTCCAATTACAGGGAAGAAGTTTTAAAACACAGACCATTAATTTATATAACTCTTAATTTCCAGACACCCTTACAGCCTCAGGTGTGTAGAATTCAGCTCTGCATTCATTGCATAGCCTATAATTACAGTTGTCCCTACAGACTCTTGGTCTTTATTTGATTCCTACATGCAAATTTAATGCACATAACATATAGTTAAGCAATATTTAGATTAGTGGAAATATATGATAACTTTTTATATTCCTGCTGTGAATGAAAATCCAATTGAACTTTATCAAAGGACAATGCTGATGGAGAATGACAGCCCTTGCCAATCACCTCAGACAAGTCTCCGTTTCGAGCGTGAATCTTGGCCATGCTTTCCAACCAGGTCCTCCGTAGCTCAGGGGTGCTCGCATAGGAGTTTGCCAGGCTGTACTGGAGATCCACCAGCATCTCGGGGTCCTTCTCATGCTCCTTCATCTGAGCTGTGGCCATCAAAACAGTCCTTATACGTTTAGTCAGGTCTTTCACCTCTGCTGGGAAATTGCTGTTCTTTGGAAAAGAGAGAGCCTGAGTCATAACCTGCTTAGAATTCAGAAGTGAGGCTGTTAATTGTGGTTTGTCATCTCAGTTTGGTGCATCCTATCTATTGCTCATGAATATGTACATTCTTTATACATGCATATTTATACATGCATATATACATGTTGTGATTGTGGTTATATACATTGGAAGATAAGAATTGTTGTACGTCCTGCTCTTTGGTTTTCTAGCCCATCTCCTTCTAGTAATAGCATCTTGATTGTCCTTTGAAAGGCTCTCCTCTCTGGCTCATGTGCATGTGATTTGAGAGGGTCTACTTCATTCCCAGGCACCAGGGGTGGCATATGATACTGGCCTGGCCAATCACATTATTTGATCCCCCAGGCAACATTGATTGGTTTAGGAAAGGGCATATGACACAAGGTTGGATGAAGGAGATTCAGTACTGGGACTTCAATTGGCACTATGGAATGAGGTGCTGTTTCCACTCAAGGAATACTACCAGAGAGAGCTCTCCCATAAATGGAGTAAATTGAATAAACACAGAGGAAAGTTGAACTGAGAGGTAGGGAGACAGGCGAAAGTAGAGGCAGTAAGAGGAGGACATCTGAAAACATTATTTTGATCCCTGCGTTTAGCCATGCCCAAAGCCAGGCTTTAGACCTGGACTTTTCAGTATACTGACTAAAGGAGAAGTCTAGAAAGTCCCCCCCCCAAAAAACAACAACAACAAAGATAAGATAAATTTGGCTAAGAATGGAATTATAAGAGAACCATTGGATTTCTGGATATTTGTAGTAACTTTTCTTGTTACACACCATTCAATCACACATCTCGGAAATTACACTTAACAGATTATATTCTGAAAGTGTAAGAGCCGATTATCAGTTTAAAGAAGCAAACAATGTAAGTGATGTCTCAATAAACAAAATAGCAAATTTGTATTTTTTAAATGAGTTAGATATCTCACAAAACAATCAGTTTAGTTTATTCCTAATTATTTAAAAATCCCACAAAACATTTCTTACTTTCATTTGTTTGTCTCCATTAGCAAAATTATTGGTAATTGCAAGGGAATGTTGAAACCGAGAGCCTCCAATCCCAGCGTCAGCTATTAACTGGCTTACGGCCTTGATGAGCTGAAAGAGAGAAGAAAAATGAAACCTCAAAAGTGAGTAACCAAGAAATAGGAGTTATAAAGAAATCCATCGGATTAGTTGAATGTCCCATTCATTTCTCCCTCTAGAGCCACTGAATGATATCTCTCTGTTTTAAATCTTTAAAGGCCATGCGATCCTGGGCTTTTCTTATAAACTTAAATACTTAAGAAAGGTTGTAAGAATCTTAGGATGCCTTGAAGAAAGAAATGTATGCATTTAGAATCTGGTGAGATTTGGCATCCTAGAGATAGCACTGGGTTCCTGACTTGTGTATTCTGTATGACTCTATTCCCTGGCTGAAGCAAGAACAAGTCCAGGTGGAGTTATGGGCTTTGCTGGCTTCTGCCCAGCTGCCCTCTGCCCATGAATCAGAACTGAATGTGATGGGCACCTTTAAGGGCAGAATCTGGAGGAGGAGTTGGTCACTGGTTGCCCTGAGGACAGTAGGCTTCTATCAATGCTGAGACAGAGTCGTAGCATTAACAATAGCACTAATGAAAACTGGCAGCACTTACTTGTAAGTGGGATCGGACAATTGACTTCTGCTTGTTAAATTCAAAATTCTTCCTCATGAAAAAGTACAGAAGTGCTGACGCTTCTGTCTGAGTTGACCGTGACCTGTGGTTACAGCACTTTAGGACTTCATAGCAGAAGGATCCACACAGGTCGGCAGGCCCTTGGAAGAACGCTGAAGGAAACTGTGGGAATGGAAACACTGGTGAGGTCAGCCCTGTTCCTTCATTGTCTCTGTTCACTCTCATATTTTAAAATTCCTGAGAATGAAATCCTTCTTTCTCTTCTTTTAACTGAGTCTTTTTCTTTTATTTGCAAGTGGGAGAGGATATACTTTTGCTTGTTGAAGTCTATCTTAGTATTTCTTTTTTCCCCCTAAAAATAATCATTTTCTATCTTTTAGGTATCCCTTGCATAAATAACTAATGATAACCCAAAAGCGTAGAGCGAGAGCTTGGACATGTTTTCTACTTACCCAACATTGTAAACTGCAGGGGCCCTAAGAGGTCATAGCTGTAGCTACTTCAATGTGGACCTTTAACTTGGCATGAATGGGCATCACAGTTCACGGTGTGCATTTTACCTAACTCTGTCACAAACACTTACTCAAAGAATTGGTGGCCAGATGTTAATTTTATTCCCTTCTGATATCCAAGCCAAAAGGCTGTCAAGGCTGTGAGCTTATTTTGAGATCTCTAATCAAAGATTTAATAAGACCAAATAAATAGTCTAATAAAACCAAATAAACCAAAATAAAAAAAATCATATTTTCTCTCCATACCAAAAGTTGTAAGGATTAATATGCAATTATGATCATCCATTACTGAGTTTCGCTGGAAGCCGGAGCACCCTTACCTTGCATACAAACAGTCTGAGGGATGCAAACACATGCTTTAGCGCTGTGGCTGACTGGTTGACTTGGAAAAAGAGCATGTAGGTATCGAAGACTCTTTTCATTAATGAATTTTGACATTCAGATTGTTGGAGTTGTCTCTGGAGATTTAACACAGAAGTTATTTAGGATGAGGAAAAGGACACCTGTGTTCTTTCAAAAGATATTTGTTGTGAACCTATGGAATGGTAGGCACAATTCTGGGTGCTGGACATAAAATGCTGACTAAGAGGAGAAGGTCTATGTTCCCATTATAACTGACAGAGTAGTGACTGAAAAAAAGTACTAAATAAGGAAAATAGAGTATAATGATATATTATGATAGAAAGAAATTGCTTTAGGAGTAGGATTGTACTTTAGATAGGGTGGTTAGGTATGACCTCTTTAATGGATGAATTGACATGTGAGTTAAAGGAGTGTGCTGGGGGCAGATCTAGGAGGGTCATCCAAGGAGGGAGGCTTGAATACCAAGAACTCGACTTAGAAGGAGACTGTGAGCTTAAAGTTGAGAAAAAAGAGCAGAATGAGTGGGGTGGGATAGCAAAGAGAGGTAGAAAATAAGATCACAGACAGGTAAGTCATCATAGACACTTGTAAAGCCTGTGAGATGTATGATATTTGAGTAATATTTCCACTGAGCAATACAAAATTAAAATATGGTTAATGCTTTTTCTACCACCATGCTGAGCTTTCACCTGCAGGACTTTCTTGATATATTCATTCTGTTTAGTGTCGACTTTATTCAGCACATCCAACTTTTCATAGTTTAAACCTCATTAGGTGCAGCTAATGTTTTTAATAGCTTTATTGAGATTTAATTAACATAAAATTTCTATAGTTAGCATTTTATGAAATTTTTAATAAATGGAATCATACAGTGTACACACTCTTTCTGTTTGGCTTCCTTCCCTGAGCATAACTAAGCTGTATTCTATTATATGGATATAACATCATTTATTTTCTAAGCCATTTATTTGTTGATGTACATTTAAGTTGTTTCCAGTGTTTACTGGTAGTTATTAAAAAGAAAGCTTCCATGAATATTTGTGGACAAAGCTTTGTGTGGGCAAATGCTTTAAAAAAAGTTCACCCAAGGAGGGAGGGAGGGAGAGGGAGAGGGAGAGGGAGATGGAGATCAATCAGTTGCCTCCTGGGGATTGACCCTGAACCCAGGTATGTGCCCTGACCAGGAACTGAATCCATGACCCTTCAGTGCATGGGACGACTCTCCAACTGAACCTCATTGGTTGCTACTGAATCCATGACCCTTCAGTGCATGGGACGACTCTCCAACTGAACCTCATTGGTTGCTAGGGCTGAAGAAATGTTTTAATTTCTTCTGGGTAAATTCCTAGTATTGGAATGGTGGGTCATGTGATTAATAAATGTTTAACATTTTATACTGACATACTGTTTTCCAAAGTGTTTGTACCATTTTGCATTTCCCTTATTAGTGAGTGAAATTACTTTGCCAAAAGTTGCTATGGTCAGTCTTTTTAAGTGTAACCATTCTAATAGTATGTAGTGGTATCATTTCACCAAAGAAATCCAGGGGGTAAATAAGCATGTGAAAAATATTCAACATTATTAGGCTATTGGATCTAGCTGTCATATGTCTCTCCCTTTGAGAATGAAAAGTAGTGTCACATTCTTAGTCATTTTGCCTGATAGTGAAGCAGGAAAAATTAGAAAGAAAGAGTATCATTAACTATTTGATAATAGTGAAATATATACATGTGTATA